ACAAGGGTAATTTTCAACATAAATTATTAGTCAGCCTACTGTATATTTCAGAGTGATGTACAATAAAAGCAATCATATTTCTCAACTGATTAACCTAGGAAATGAATAAATGGGACTCCAGGTTTTCAGGCAGCTCCTGTGAATGCATACGGATTCATCAACTAAAAATTCCACAACACATCTCAGATGCCTGTTCAAATTAATAGATAATTATCTATCTTCGGACAAAGAATTCCTGAACAAATACAAGTAGTCCTCGAGTTACGAATGCAATGGAGCCATTCGTAACTCGAGGATTCGTAGGAGTGAATGGTGTACCTTGAATGTGATCACTCCCTGCTTTTGCCCATGCATTCGCTAATCAAATGTGTGGTTTGTTAAGCGCACATGAGGTGTCTCAGGGTGGGGAAGGCCATGGGAGGGCCTAGTGATGGAACAGGCCACCTGCTTCAGACCACTCAAGGCCTCCCCCGATCCACTGAGATATCTCATGCTCCCCACAATTGCTTCTCCCCCCTCATCCTGCTGCACTGGGTCACTTACCTTGCAAAGATCTAGCAAGCTGTCTCCTCTCCAGACTCTCTGCTGCACTAGTTCACAGCGCCCAGAAGCTTCCAGTCTCCCCACAAAATGTCTGCAAGCTGACAGGAAGCTGTGTATCACCAAAATCACTGCCTCAAAGCTTCTGGCCAGCTTGCAAACACTTTGGGTGCTGAGACTGGAAGCTTCTGGGTGCTGTGATCTCGCGGGACTTCAGGCTTTAGACTTCCAGTCTCTGCGCAAAATGTGCTTAAGGAAGAGCCTTTGCTGATGAGAACAGAGCCCCGACTTGATGCGTGTGTCGCCCCCGGCCTCCGTTTTCGGCGGCAAAGGCCTTCAGGAACGGAGACTGGGAGCGACGCACGCTTCAATCTGGGGATCTCTTCTTGGCAGCAAAGGCTTTTTGCAAAGATGGAAAAAGGCTTTGCAAACAGAGGAAAGGCTTTAATGTTTCAGGACTTCCCCCCATTTGCAAAGCCTTTTGCTACGGGGATCTCGTCCAAGCCTTCGTTTGCAGAGAACAGAGGCGTAAAGTACCATGAGATCAAACAAGATCAGTAGCATGAGATCTCGCACTACTGATCTCGCGTGATCTTGAGGTACTTTAGGCCTCCATTCTCTGCGAACGCACCGAAGGCCTGAAGCAATGAAACAGGCCAAGAAACTAAGACTCTCTAGATTTTCGCAAGGTGAGTATCCACAGGCCTAGTGCCTATGGAGACCCAGCCGAGGGGAGGGAATAGCCAGGGTGAATGTTGCAGTGACTCTGCGGTCATTCGTAAGGGTGAACAACTGCTGTGGTGCTGCAACATTGGTAATTTCAGGACTTGTTCATAAACACTGGGGGGGGGGGGAGCTTATCGCATAACTTTGAACGTTCACTAAGAGAACATTCGTAACTCGGGAATTACCTGTATCCAGTCCAATAAAACTGAAGGTTGACTCTTATTTTGAGATTACATGTGAAATTTTCTATAGACACAGCATTTTACCAGAGCCCCTACACAAAGAGCTAGTTCTAAAGAATATAGTATTTTAGCATATGGAAGCGGAAATATCTTTTTATGTACAGTGTATGGAAATGTAACACAGTGTATGACATGTAATACGGCATCATCATAAAGTGGTACAGAATCCATACACACTTTATCAATTTGAGGCAAATTTTGTGAACCCTGCTAGTGCTAAAACTTACAATGTGATGTAAGTTTCTTATAAATTGTCTTTATAAATAAAAACATTCAGGTTAAGCAACACACAGAACATGTGTTTGCCAAACAATTAGACCAATTCTACATTAAACAGTTCGGCAACAAGCCTTTTAATTTTCCCATACTAACAGTTGTAATACTGACTGTAAAATAATGTTTTCCTCCTTTAATGTTTAGAGCAAAACAAAGACCTTTTGAAGTGGAGCTGCTGACTAAATCTTATCAAACTATTTTTCAAACAAGAGATTATCTGGATTTTTCCACCAATGGGCAATAATTAATTTTGTTGCTAAAAGTACAGTGGTACCTTGGTACTCAATTGCTTTAAAACTCATTGAATTTGGTACTCAATGCATTTTGACATGAAAATTTTGTCCTGGTACTTATTGTTTGGTACTTGACACACAAGCTGGAACTTGTTGGTGTTGGCTGCCTTTTTGACTCACTACATTATTCCTTATGGGAAAAATTTGTTCGGTACTCATTGTTTTTGGTAGTCACTGCATCTCCCAGAATCAATTGATGATGAGTACCAAGGTACTACTTATATGCTATGAGAACTATATAGAAAGGGAACACTATTTTAAAGAAAACTGAACACACATTTTAAAAAATAATTCTAAGAAAACATTCAGGACAGACCTCTGAAGAATTTGTTCACATTATTGTAATGAAGAATTATTGCTAATTTCTATATTCTATATTCGTAACAATGATAAAATATCACTTTTAATTGTTAAAATATATTATTTATTGTTAATATTTATCTCCTAAGCATTCAATATAAGTTTCCCTGTCCAATACATTCCTACACACTTTTTCAAATATAAGATTAATATTTCATTTGGAGATACTTAATTCACATAAAACACAAACATATACACACATTTTTATAATAGTTCCATTAATGTTGCTTATTTTTAATATTTGTTTGGTTATTTGCAGTAATTCTGAAAATAAATTCCTAAAATTTCATCTACAATAAAAGTCTATAGGTAAAATTTTTTAAAACAGTAGATATGCTTTTTCAAAAGCCAAAATAGCTAGGTATCAATAAAAGTCCTAAGACAAACAAACTAAAGAATATTTCTCATTAAGTCACATATTCACTAAGTAATCAAGTTACAGAACAGCAATTATGTATACTGAAATAATGTGACCACAGGTCCTACGTTTTCAAATTCCACATTACAAGGTTGACAGGAACAAAAAAGTATGTGTTTAGACTAATAAAGCCAGTAAAAAGTAGTTATATGCCAACTATTGATTTAGTTTTAATATATAATAGGAAAAAATCAAAACTTTTTATTACCAAATCAAACATTTTGACTGAAAGAACAGTAACATGTCAAGACAACTTTTTTTAAAAAAAAAACAATAGCGTCACAAAGCAAAGAACATTTTTTCCTTTTAAGATAGAGGGATACTATGGCAAGAAGAACATTCACTGAAATAAACAGATACCCTTGCTGAAACAATTCTCTCTTTCAGTATGACAAATTAGGAACAAGAATATGAGCACCATTTATACACACTGGAAATCTTCCCCCTCTTTAGTAAATAACGAATTAATAAGAAAGTCAGAGAAGTACTAGAGATTTTTTTTCAGAGAATTAAGACAAATAAAATCCAATTTGATTAAGTTCTTATAATAAATTTGCAAGCTAAAGGTCCCAGATTCACCAGGAAAAAAGTATATTACATTAATACACTACTGTAAACTCTGGAAATTCACTATCATTCCAAATGGCAAACATGATTGACTTAGATCAGGGGTGTCAAACAGCCGGCCCACGAACCGGATACATCACGTGGAAGCCGCGCCCATCCCATTGCCGGCAATGGCAAAATAGTCCTGATATGTTGCGCGACGTCGCCGGTTTGACATGTCTGACTTAGATGAACCTACAGAATCACATCTTCCTTATTATTCTGAACTGCTCAACAAATCCCTATGCTTACTTTCTGTTTGTTCCTGGATCTACTCTTACCCTCAAAATGTGCCATAGTATGTCTTCTGCTCTTATAAATACTATATTGCTATTTGTGTTGTCTCTTATCTCTTCAATTCAAATCTTTACTTATATTTTCCATGAAGCATTTAGCATATCACTCTCCATTTCCTTTTAAATCTTAGTATGAGAAACTGAAATAAGTTTTTCATTCTCCACTGCATCTCACTTTCTTTCTCAATGGATTCCCCACTGCATCTCACTTACTTGCTAATACTTTGTAAAGTGCTTTGTAAAAAGATAACATTGTATTAACAATACATGGACCAATAAAACAGCTCTAAAATAAAGCATATACATTCTCTGTCAGACACAAATTGTATGATCAACAGAATTTCATTTTTTTTCTCCATAAAAACAGGCAGTTTTGTGAGTTTGCCCTCACCCCAATCTATAGCCAATGAAGCCAGACTGAAGCTATATTTTTTGCTTCTCTGTCATTCTTCATTACCCATATATTATAAAATGGGAGCCACCCATAGTCTCAGTCACAAGTTCTTGAAAATGATATGGTAAGTATGGTACCAGGTTAAAAGGATGTAAATCATTGCATAGTATGCTATAAAATTTTGGGAAGGTTCATTATAAAAAAATCCATTATAAAAATAGCCACTTCCATGATTCTGTGAAAACTGGAAGATCAAAATGGGCTTTCTTCATTGCTGATAATTAAAAGGCTAGCAACACAAACTTTGGGTTTCAATTGGACACATTTATATAATGCTATCAAACCAGAACTTACATAAAATTTCTGTTTTTACTCTTTTCTTACCCTTATGTAGGAAAATTAGCATTTTATACTGGCTAATGAATCAAAATCTTTGTCCAATATAACATCAGTATACATTTTCACACAAACAGCTACAAAATGTAGCAATAGCCTGACTCAACATCTGAACTTTGAGTTCATTCTCAACTCTAAAACTTATTGCCACATAAAGCTTCTTTTTTTAAAAAAAAATTATTTAAAAGGGACTAAAATTATCTGAAATGCAGGGAAAAAGCATCAAGTTTACTGTTTTAAATCAAATTAAAATATAGGCGGGTCTTGAAAAATTCATACTATTAATAAGTATAGCAACTTTCATAAGCAAACTATTAAGTACAGCAATTTTTAAATCTGAAACAAAAGTTATCTGAACAGTAAAATGCAAGAAACTCTTGGTTCTTAATTTGGAATAACCTGGATTTATTCAAAAACACAGACAAGACTATAAGTCAAATTAAAGTCACTTACATTGTCTCTCCAGTCTTGGCGACATGACAAAGAAATTGATCCAATATTGGACAGACTTCCTTCTTTCCTCTTTTCTCAAAATCTGTAGAAACGGGCAGAGAAATAGAAGAGGAAAAAAATGTAAACCATACCTTGTGAATTCTGTAATGTCTCCCCTCCCCCTCCTGCCTGAACAGTACAATTTCTAAATACAGTAGCAACTTTTTTTAAAAAAAAAAAACCCACACAGAAGACACTTAAGATGAATTTGGAAGCTACTTTTTCAGGTTTCTTCAATGTCTGCAATAGATATGCCCCTCAAATTGCCCATCAAGGAGGAAGATCCATACACTCTGATAATTTCTTATGGAGAGAAGAGGCAGGGAAGGGAAAGGAATAAGTAGCAGGAAGTGGGACAGAATGGAAGGGGAATTAGAAAGAAACCCAAAGTATGAGAGAGAGGGGGAAAAAGTAAACTCGAAGAAGGAACTTCAAAGGCCCTTTTAAGGGAAAAGCGAGAGGATCGGGAGAGGTGGTGGTGGAAGGGAGGAGGGGGCGACGATGGCCCCCGTGCTGCCATCCTCAGCACACGTTTTGGGAAGCTCAAAGCAGCCCCCCCCAAAAACAGAGCAGCCCAGACTGTGGCGGGAGTAAAAGTGTGATCCCTCCGACCGCGGCTTTCCCCTCTCCAAGAGGATGCATTTCCTTCCCAAGTCCACGTTAGGGCCAGGCCTTCTCTTCCGCCTCCCAAGGTCGGGGGCTCCTCTCTCCCCCCCTTCGCCGCGACCTCGAGATAAGCCTCCCCTTCTCCCCAATTCACCCCCAGCCGCCACCTTTCAGTGCTTCCTGGAGCCTCTCGATATCCATGATCCGCCGCCGCCGCTGCTGCTGCTCCTCTTCCTCCTCCTGCCTCCCGGGCTCTCACAGGAAACAGGCAGCCGCGCAGCGAAGGCAGTTCAGGTGCGGCTACTCCACCGGGGGGAGAAAGGGAGGAGAAAGAGAGAGTGAGGAAGAGATAGGGGGGAATAAGAGAAACAGAGAGAGAGAAGGAAAGAGAGAGAGAGAAGGAAAGTAACAGCGATTCCCCGGCGGCCGGGCTCAGCAGCCTTCCAACATGGCGCCTAAGCCGTCGCCGTGCGCGCTCCCGACTCTCCTCGCAAGCACACCGATTTCAGCCTTTCCTCTTCCCGCCGGCTCGGGAGCGCGCTGGTAGAGGCGGGTGGAGATTAGAAGAGGGCGGCCCGTCGGAGATGAGGTCACCGCGGTTTCGGCGGGAGACCCGCTTCAAGCGCCGAAAGTGAGCGGCGCGGAACCTCGGCAGGGCTCGCTTCGCTCGGAGTTGGCTTTTCTTCTCTTGCTCGATTGCAAGGAAGATTTGGGGTGGCTGGATAGGGCATTCGCACGTTAATATTTTCAGACCAGCATTTAAGGTGGTAGTGTTTCTCAGTGTTAGTAACTTTAAGATGGGCCGGCTTCAACTCCCAGAATTTCCTAGCCCTGCTGCCTAGGGAATGCTGGGAATTGAAGTCGGCCCATCTTAAAGTTGCTGAAGTGATGGGATGTTGATTTAGGGCAGGGGTCTTCAAAGTTGGCCCTTTTATGACTTGTGGACTTCAACTCCCAGAATTCCTCAGCCAGCATGCCTGGCTGAGGAATTCTGGGAGTTGAAGTCCACAAGTCTTATAAAAGGGCCAAGTTTGAAGACTTCTGATTTAGGGTGTTTATCTGCCTGAGAAGCTCTTATTCATTTCCACTCGCCCCTTCCCACTCCTATAGACAGAAAATTCACTGTAGCAACGTGCTATAGAAGGTTTTACTAGAAGAAATGCCTTGTCTTTGAAAGATTACTTATTTATTCAAATTCTATAGTTGCTCAAGTCAACCAAGTGACTCTGGGGCTTACATTTAGCCTCCTCTCACCTGGTGCCTTCCAAAGGTATTGGAGTTCACCTCTCAAAACGCAGACAAGGAGATATGGAAAGTCAAGTTCCAAGCATTTTCAGTGCACCAGGTTCAATGGAGTAGTTATTTATTTCAGTTTATTAATTCAATGTATTTAGTTATGCTGTTCTGGAAACTAATTTGCTAGAACTATAACACTCATAATTCCCAACCATTACAGTGGTGGTTGCCAGAGTCATAGATTTTTCCATATCAGTTGCCTGTTAAGCTGGGAAATTTGTAGTCCAGCAAAGTCTTCCATAAGTTGATTAAATATCACATATGAGGGAGATACTTGAATAAATGTCATCCCATTCTGTTTTGTTATGTTATTTCAATCAATTTCAAATAATTTTAAATCTAACAGGATTAAAATTAAAATAATTAAATCCAATTCCATTTTTGTTCTTTTGGAGAGTGGCTAGAGTACCTAGGTTAGGATCTTGGCTGTGAGGGGGAATGGGAAGCCGAACGCAGGCTGCCCTTCCTTCTAGCTCTCACCACATTTTGAATGCCAGGATTCTGGATCCTTGAGCCTACAAGTTTTGGCTGCTGCTCTTAAATGCCAGATCTGTCTGTATAAGAATTCCTCATCCATGACTTAATTTTGGATGAGAGGGAAGACTTGACATGTACAGTATTACTGAGATTTATGTTCTCCTTTCAGAAAATCGTCCATCAGGATTTTGGATTGATACAGTCTTTCTGGTAAGGTGGGGTGGATGTAGCTGTTTCATTCATGAAACTTGTTATCTAGTGATGTTTTCCAAAAAATAGCTGGGTGTGAGACCTTGTGTTTGAACCAAAAGAGCCAATTGGATGTACTCCTTGTCCCAGTATACCAGGGGTGTCAAACTGCTGGCCCGTGGGCCGGATGCGTCATGGCGAAACCGTGCCCATCTCATTGTCGGCAATGGAAAAGTTATGACACGTCACACACGTGGTGTTGCGAGTTTGACACCCCTGCACTACACTGTGCCAACCTTGCCAGGCTTGACATGGTTGCTGAGTTAGCAATAGTATCTTTTTAGTGAACAGCCCAGAGGTTCATAGCCACCATGACAACCATGCACCTGACCTCATTTATTCAGGGCTTGACACATGAAAAATCTCTAGTATCTCTCAGGGCAGACTCCACATAATCTGAAAGTGGGAGATGTTGAACTTTGCCAATTCTCATGGACTAATTACTCTCTTTGCTACAGAGTTGGATGTAATGGCTCTCTCTATGGTGTGGAAATACCCATTAGATTTGTTTTGCCCCATGTCCCTAATGGATACTATGGATTTTCAGAAGACTCAAGGAATTCTCCAGGGAACTTGTAAGGAGTTTGACTGAGAGTCTGGCTCAGGAATTCTGGGAGTTGAAGTCCACGAGTCATAAAAGAGCCAAGGTTGCCTACCCCTAGTCTAATTGTTCACTGGAATAATCTGGCATCTGGGTCTTGGGACTGGATTCCACTTCAGTGGCTTCTCCACGTGCTCAGTTGATTCTGCTGATTCTTGCTTTACTAAAGATCTTAGTAAGAAGATGAAGTAGCAGAGGAAATGCCTGGAGTGCTGCTGGAGAAAGATCCATCTTGAGTCTGACCAGCCATTAATGTGAGCGTATCTCTTTACAATAGCAACTTAAGCAACAAAAAATAAATACCCGTATTTTTCCATCTATAAGATGCACCCTTGTATAAGATGCTCTGGCATGCGAGTTTCTCCGCGCCGATCAACTGTTCGGCGGAGTGCCCAACAGCTGACCCGGCAAATCCAGAAGTTTGGTCGGCCAACGATCTTGTCCCCTCTCCCCTCCCATTAGTGGCAAGCCCACAGGGGCTTGACACCTGCACCAGGCGGCATGGCAACCCACATAGGCATGCCCTGGGCTGTGGAGGTTACCATTATTTTTCCGTGTATAAGACGCTGCACTTGTATAAGATGCACCTGATTTTTGAACAGGATGTTTGCAGGAAAAAATAGCGTCTTATACACGGAAAAATACGGTATTTTGCTCTTCTTATTGCATTGGCTGAAGACCTGCCCCTCTTTAACAATGTTTGCCAGAATCATCTGAAGGGCTACTGTAGGATTTGTTTGATATATATTTATGTGTTGGCCTCTTCTATTCATCGAATGTGGAATTATTACTTCACAGCAGAAAGAAGAATGGGGGGAAAACACAGATTTCCCACAGAGTTTTTATTATTTTTATTGCCATATGTGAAGCAAGTTCATAATACTTACTACAGGAATCAGCCCAAATAATTATAAGAGCACAATGTTAACGAGTTCTAGTCATCTGAAAAATTTGTTAAAATTCTAGTCATCAGTTTTCTTATAACGTTAATACATTTTTCAGACAAGTAGAGCTTATTATTTAGACTTATCTAACCTTTAGACTTTTGGAGAGAAAATAGATTGGAAGGCAGCTATTTAAGGAAAATGTATTCTGATCCATCATATGGCTTATTTACAGAATGAGGATCAGTTATGAGCATAGAAGTCAGCTTTCTAATAACTGTATACCATTTATTCCATGAGCAGAATATAATTGACTGAACTATGGTGAGTAGAAGGTGTAAAGTGTGTGCCTTGTGCCTCCTCGTCTTACGACCACAACTGGGCCCCAAATTTTTCTTGCTGAGCGAGGCATTTGTTAAGTAAATTTTGCCCCATTTTACATTTCTTGCCACAGCTGTTAAATGAATCTGGCTTCGCCATAGACTTTGCTTGTCAGAAGGTCACAAAAGGCGATCACATGACTCCGGGACACGGCAACCGTCATAAATATGAGTCAGTTGCAAAGTGTCTGAATTTTGATCATGTGACCAGGGGGATGTAGCCACGGTTGTATGAAAAAGTCATAAGCCACTTTTTCAGTGCCGTTGTAACTTCGAACAGTCTCTAAATGAACTATTGTAAGTCAAGGACTACCTGTACTGAACTATTTAGAGATCTTTGAACTGTAATCTATAGCTATTTTGTTGAAACAAATATATATGTATTTAGCATGTACAAGAACTAGATTATGTTTCCTTTAGAATTATAGCTCTAGAATTTATTGAACTGCAGATGAGGAAACCATTAACCCCAGCTATTACACCAGAATATAAACAATGGGGTAGAGAGGAACTTAAGTTCTTTTTCTCTTTTGTTTTAAAGTAAAATCTGAACAAGCTGTGGTTATAAACATGCACATTAATCGTTTAATCACAATTAGCAACATAATTTGAGCCTTAAGTCTTTGTATATAATCATCTTCCCTGGACCTTTGCTTCTGATGTGTTATAGCTGTCAGCGTCTCTGAAAGCACATAATTGAAGTTGTGGTTCAACATCTAAGAGGGCATCAGATTAGCAAAGATATACTAGAAATGTCCAAGGAAGATTTATTATATAAAGATTGTCCCAATTTCTTTTGACCAAGAGCCTTTCTAAAAAGCTAAGTGTTGCCACTTTTTTTGGTACATGCATTTGGAAGTTTAAATCTTTTAAACACCAGTTTGAGATATACTTGTTTCTTTGCTCTTTCTCTGTTCAGCACATTCTTCCTGTTATTTCTGGCAGAAACAGTACTATTAAAGTAAAGGGAGAAAACATCCATGAATTGTCCTTGAAATGTTAATAGTCTATACTTCAGAATCTCTCTAGATAAAGTTGACAAGAACCTCTTGGGGAGACACCCATCATCTATTGAATATCTTATCCATTAATATCTTAACATTTAAAAGGAAGTCACTTTTAAAATAGTCCCAGGGCTCAAAGAGAATTTTTTTCCTCTTCTTTCTTTGCAATTTTCAGAATGGCAGAGCCAATTTGTCATTCCGTGTAAGAAATGACAGCAGTCATCCATCTTTAACAATTCTTCCTGGTGGTTTTGCACGTTATGTCTCAGTGTCCAATAACAGGAAAAAACAATTGTCCTCCAGGATATATACATGCATGCATGCATGCATACATAGACACACACACACATATATATACATACATACATACATACATTGTACAGCATTAGTGAGCCAACGATCTGTAGTAGCTTGGGTGAGAATTTAGTACAGATAACAGCATCACAGACATCTCCAAAACCTTATTTTTTTTTAAACAAAGTAGGTTGTGCAATGGTGGAAAGTGTTGTTTTAAAAAAAGAAGTAAGATCTGATTTCATGCAAATACTTTCTTTGGATTCTAAATCCAAAGCCCTATGTAACCAAGAGACGTTATATTCTACCAATATTTTAAACATTAGCTAGATTTTCAACCTTAAATAAGGGGCACTTTATGACTTTCTGCCCATAATTACACCCAAACGTAAAAATAGTTTTTGAATATCATCTGGCTTAATTTGCACAGTAAGATAAGATATAACTATTGGTTATAAATTACACTGTCTGGGTCTGTAAAACCAATTAAGCCAAAACTAAACCATGTTAAGGCTTGTTCAGTGCACAAAGTGAAGCTTCTTGTTGCTGTTAAAACTGCTTTTTATATCTGATGTTTTGGATGAAGAAAAATTTGGTAGCATAATCTGCTCTCAATGAATTTGGGCAGTGAGGTGGAAACTTTTTCCTTTTTCCTCCATGTAACTTGACTTTTCCAAGATCCTTCCTGGAACTTTATTTAATTATTTATTGTGACTATAAATAGTCTTGTATTTGCAGTTCTCTGCGTTAAAAACATGAAATGTAAATTAATAATAAAACAATGACAGTAGGATCAGATGAAAGCAAGATTAAATGAACAGCAATCTATTACCTGCATCAAAACTAAAACTAGCAGCATGATTGAATAGTACAAACCACAGAATCCAACTTGGCACAAAAAATTAAATAATGAAACAGCCACTTTTTAAGATCCAGTTATTTTCCTTGATCCATATTCTGAAGTTAAACTAGGGAGCCAGTTTGGTCGAGTGATTAAATACCAGGCTAGAAACCAGGAGACTGTGAGTATTAGCCCCTCCTGGTGACTTTGCATTGATCCCCCTACCCCTCCAAAAATGTGGAAAAATGCTAGAAAAAAAATATTTGGAAGATTATTAAGAAGGCTCCACTGATCCTTTCAAGTCCATATCTATCATTACAGCAAGCATATTAACATCACAATAGCTGTTGTTAAAAACTTTTGCTGTATCCCATTCTGTATTTTGAATTTTTAAGATGACTTGCAGTTATGCAACTGACTTTCAGTTCACTAAATTCTCCAGATATACCATACTCCATGTTTTTGGAAACCATCTAATAAACTTACTGATACACTGCAACTTACACAACAATCTTGTACAGTATTTATTGGATGTATTTAATCACCTTTCAAGAGTGCAGTTTTTAAAATTTCTTATTACAACTAACCTTACACAGCATGGTTGTTGAATAGGCTACATTTAAATGGATTCACATATCATGATCATACTAAGACTTAAGTAATGGTTAACAATATTCTATGATCCGGCCTGGTGAGGGCTCCATTCTTGCAAAACCAACCTTCATACTTGAAACATTGTGCAAATCCAGAAAAACAGGTATTATTCAAAAAGAATGGTTAACAAATAATAGTTTTATGAACGTTTGTCACTTTATGTCAAAGTTTATCACTCATTAAGACATCTTCCAGCAAAGCCTGTGACTATTTGAGCTACAATCAAATCCTTAAGCCAAACACGGATTGATTATGTTAATCATGTTCTGATGACATATGCCCTATGATTTGGTGTCTTAATTAGATTATTATTAATTACTACAATTTGGGAGCAATTTCAAAGAAAAGGTTTGGGAAAAATCTTGGAGATAGCCAAATAGACATTGTATTAATTGCCAAGCTTTGACTTGTGCTGTCAATGTTGTACCTACAATTTTGTAATAATTTGATAATTATTAGCAAGTAGAAATAAAAATGAAGCAAAGGAGATTTTGACTTAATGACACGACTGACCATTAAAATCTACCTGCCGATATAAAAGATAGCGCGAGCAAGAAGACATCTTTATTCACTAGTTTCAGCTTTATTTTCTGTTGTTAATTTTTCCCTTAAAGACCCATGCGTGTGCAGTGTAGGATACATTTGAAATTATCGGTCGCTCTTTATCTATTTCAGAGTAACAGAAGCCTGTCACATTGTGCCTTCTGTCCTCTATATTCTTTTTGTTTTGTCCTTTTTTGTGATACTCTTGTTTAGATTGTCAAATATTCAGCTTGGCTAAATCAGCTTCAGAAAATATTAATATTTTCATGTAAAATCAACCATAACTTTATCAAAGGAATTATTCATAGCTAGAACAAGTGTGTTTTCTGTGCATGTATACAAGATTGAACACAACTATTAATTTGTTCTAGAAAAACAGGCTCATATTTGCTGAAAGTTGGTTTATTTACCTGATAAGTCTAAAATTATAAATGACTTTAAATACACTTTAATTGCCTCCCTAGGAGCCATAAATATTCAGTGCACTTCATCAAACAGAAATGTACAAGTTAATAAAGTGACATGACATTGATTGCAATTTTATACAGAGACAAGTAATGCAAATTCCATTTTTCACTTTCCACTTAGATGGAAATCGGCAACAGTTGGCATGTAGAAACATATAGGCACACAATTATCATCTAACTTTAGGAGATCCAGATCAAAATCTGTACTTTACATCTCATCAAGGAGTTTCTTAGTGCTAAAAATATACTTTTCATAGATTATGACTGGATTCAGAACAAACAAAAAAATGTGAGAATGAATTTTTAAGAGAGTTGTATCAACATTCTGAAGACTATGAAATTCTAAAAACTGTAAAGATACCATTCTAATAAACTCAATTAATTTGCCAATAAAGGAGTATATTTGCAACTCGGTTGAAATGAGGGGTCCTTCATGCCCTCAAGAGCTTGGGTTTTGGTTTTTTTCACATGTTTTATTACACAAACTAGGTAACATTATCAGTGCTAGTAAGGAGTGGGGTTTGTTCTCAGTTTATATTCTAGTGGCTTGCCCTGTCAGTGTTGGTGGGAGTGGTCTTAAAGGTTCTTTGGTTGGGCTGCTTGCTGTTAGCTTGTTTGGCAAGGCCTTGATTAGGGTATTGTTTACTTCTTGATTGTTGGTCTGATGCTAATCTTGGAGTTAATCTATGTTCCTCTGGGTGCTAATTGCTGATGGGGAGCTGTTTTGGTTTTTTTGTTCCCTTTTTGGCTTGTTGATTGTCTCTTTTGCACAATATGTAGATATTGTTTATGTATATATGTCTATTGATGGCTAATTTGTCAGAGTGCCAGACTTCTAGAAATTCGCTAGCATCTTTGGACTTGGCTTGGTCTAGGATGGTTTCCCAGTTGAATTTCCCAATTTCCCAGTTGAAACTATAGTTAAGTCTGCCCGTATGTTGTGTAATTAAGGATGTCATGTCTTCTGACTGCTAGTTGATGTTTATGGAAGCATTTTATCAGTCTTCTACCACCTGCCTGTCCTATGTAGTGATTGTTGCAGTCATTACACAACAGTTTGGGTAATGTAACATCTGCAAGAAAACAACTAAGTTCAAAGAGAGGGTTCAAGGTTCAATGACCCTTAAAGCAGTTTGGCAATAGGACAAATTCCTTCCAAATCAACACATTTGAAGAACACATTTGAAAAAGCACCTTTGGGACCTGGGTGATGGAGGATCTCCATAGACACATTTGAAGAACTACTGTATATCTTCAGTAGAGTATCTTGAGCTTTGACTCTTCAAGTCTTTGAGATAGTAACCTGGCAGCTGTTGAAATCAAGTGTACTTGCAGTTGGCACTAAAAAGAATTTTGGCATATTCAACCTTAAAAATAAATAGGTATAGACAGGTATGTCTAGGTCTGCAAAGGATTGATCAATTATAGGTAATATGTTGCAAATAGAAATGTACTTAAGATTGAGGTTTACGATGGGAACTTATGACAGTTCATCAATATAACTATTCTCCTTTTAATTGTAGATGTACATAATTTATTACAGCCCTATAGTTCATTATTTGAGTGTTTGCCATTCAGTTACTGGCTGAATTTAATGTATATTGAACCATGAACCAGAAATAGTTAAGCAAATATGCGACAGTTAGAGTAAAGTATAGTTTTACCACAAAACTATTAAAACAAGATTATAAATTCACCCTTGTTTCTCCAGTCCTACCGTATAACCTTAGTTTACAGTTATTTTGATGGTAGTGTTGCTACTGAATCAGTTAAGTGGAAAATCCCGTTCTAATATCCTAACATTAAAAAAATAACACGGCATGCAGATGAGAAAGTTGAAATAAATATTTATATATGCCTTATAACTTTTAATGTAATGCCTATTTTTTTTAAAAAAAACCAGTAATTAGTATTTTGCATATATTAATAACATATTGAAATATTGATTATTGTTAAAATTGTAATATGAAATGTGCTGAAAATTGCAAGCTGTTTGGTTAAACAAATTAAGCATTTATCCAGTAAATATATTTATATAATTATTTTAAATTTTTTCTTAAAGAGCTTTGCAACGTAGTCCACCAACAACGCCCCCAAGAACAGAATGCAAACTGAGATTTTTCCTTGCATAAGTCTACTAATACTGTGCAGAATTGTTAGTCTTAATTCACTATTAGAAAATTAAATCCTTTATAAACCAAGCGGAGATATCAAAAGTATTTTTTAGGTTTGCTTGTTTTTTAAAAAAAACCCAAAATATAATGCAGCATTACAATTTTGGTAAACATATCAAAATATGGTAGAGATAATACTTTGTGTGACAAGAAATGTAACTGTTTCTTTATGTTCAAAATCACACTATTTAGTTTACTATAAAAGTATAACTGCAACTCAATTTCTCAAAAAGAATTTGCATTTACAAAAAGCATTGTTTGTTGACTGAGCTTATCCTCATTTGAATTCAGTTTCCAATGCATCTAATAAAGTAACTCAAATCAAAGATTCAAATGGAACAGAATTCCCACTATAGATTTTGTTATTTTCCTTCAGAGAAAACCACAACAAAAATGTTGTCTCAATGTATGGCAAACCTCAAAGAGTTTTGTGATGCATATCCAAGTATTTTTCAGTTTTCTTTGACATGTGTATATGCTCTTGAGTGTTACACAGGAGATATAAAAGGGTTAACAAACACACTGTATTTGAGAAATTGAACTGTACAAATTCTGAATCTGTCCTGGAATCAAATACTGTATCAGATATCACTTTTAAAAACCCTGCACAAAAAAACTTTGCAATATTAGATTTTTATACATCTTACAGGACAGCTGAGATCCTTCACATGAATGATGATTTAACAGAGAGCATATATTTCACCAAGTGAAAAATGAACAAACTCACTCTTCAAAATTGTCATCAATTTTCCATTATAGGGATTTTTCAAGATTCTGTCTTTTGTACAGATTATATTAGGTCTTTTCATCCCTTTGAATACTATATCTGCTATAAAATAAGCATTTAGCTCTTCTTCCTTTGCCATGGATTTGATTTTCTAACACTTACTATGAAAATCTACCTTTTCTTTTTAATAATTGCTAACCAAGGTATTCTGACTTTTTCTGTAGTTAAATTGCACTCAAGTGGGCTTTAATGTTAAAAATAGGTGCAAAAGGGAAGACCTTTTTGTGAGAGACAAAAAACATACAAATCCACAAAGGAGGATGTGGCATGGTGTTACCCCTTTCTGTTTTGCTGTTACTCTTTAAGGAGCACTAGCATCAAACAAATTATTTTGGCATTATTATAGCAGCAGTTTCAAATTCACTTAACTTATTCACAGGGTGACACTTACAAATCCAACCAGATTTTGTTTTAACCCTCTGGTTGATCTCTCAAATCCCCTTCTCATATGCTTCCATTCTACAGGACAGGTTGCAGACATAACAGGCCATATTAACTATCATCACCCCCGTAGACAATCTTATTACCAAGGTGCGATTTTGTTCAACCTGTAGTAAATTCTGCTCTACATTTTCAAGAATGGAAAGAAGAAAAAGCTCAAAAACTGCTTCAGAGAGTAGTGTAATGAGAAATATGATTGTCCCTAAGTTCTCCTTACTGCATAAATATTTGAAATAGAAAAGAGCTCTCTAGAACATATTGTACCACTGTGAAAAGTCTCCTCCTCAAATTCTATATGTAAAATGACAAAAATATATTCCTGTAAAATATATCATTCTGCATTTTAACTCAGGAATGGATTATTATTTGCAATTGTGTTGAGCAACCCATACAGGGTGATCTTCGGAAGAATAGCTGTCTTAATCAGGTATAGCAAAGATGTCAACGAACACAACATATATATTAAAACTTGGTGAGATAATAAAGACAACTCTGTTACATCATGCAAAGCAGAGAATATCACCTTAATAACTAGCTAAAACATGTTTCAAACAAGAATCTATTCGGTTTATTACATACACTCCTTCCACCAGGCTGTAAAGAAATAACACCAACAACAGTTGCTGTTTTCATCATGTAAACATTAGCAAAGAGAAGAAATTAATCTTTACCCCACTATCTTCAGGTGGCAAGGTAGCAAGGCTGACAATCCTTCAGGTTAAAATAGTTGTGGCACAGTTAGATTTGCTGAAACAGAATCCCCATATGGTTTAATAATAATAATGGTCCCTAAACTACTAAAGAGGTAGATGTTCCTCAATGAAGTGACACATGAACTCTGACTAACTGCAATCTGTTAGAAACCGTCTTAAGAGTATGAGGTTCAAAATTATGGTCTTGATGTCAGTTTTGCAATCAAGACCATGATTAAAAAAGAAGGCCAATTTTCCCTGCTGAAATAGCTGAAATGACTAGGTTCATCTCATAGACAACTATACAGTACCAAAACTGGATGGTCATTGAATTGGTGAAAAGAGAGGGAGGGACAAGAAACCCCCAAAACATCTACTCTAGGTTTGATAGTGCCAATAGAAGAGAGTTGATAGAGTAGAAATACCAAAATCCAAAAAGGTTACTAAGATCAAAGAGCAAAGCATCAAAGCAACAACATGCAGTGAATGATGAATTGCACAATCCATCCCTCTGCCATTGTAAAAACTAAGTTATATCATTAAGTATTATCAGCACAATTATTTTCCAGCACAAGAAATATCTGTAAGAGCCTTCTCATAGAATTACAGAGAAATTCTCCTTGTATCTGTGTCTTAAGAGTTTCCAAATATTTATGTTCCTCATCTTATCTACAACAGTAATTCCTTTTGTTTTTTTCAGAATTTAAACCATTGCCATCAAGCTAAATAATGGTGTGGTAACTATTATAATTAGATAAAAGCCTTGTAATTTTGCTTAAGAAATAACTGACTCAATGCAATCCTATACACGTCTAGTCAGAAATACGTCTTACTAAGCTTTGTGAATCTTACTCCCAGATACTTGTTTACAGAACTGTAGCAAAAGCCAGCATAGAACTTTCAGTTCACAGCCCCAGAGTGGGATACGATGGGAGACAACAGCTCTATGAAAATATATTGCTATGATTATAATCTGAAATTGGCTCCAATATTGACAATCACATGATTTTCATAGACATTCTTCATGGTTCTCTCAATTTGTTTCAGAAAAACTTGAGGAATTCGCCCACATAAAGTGTGTACAGTATTGAGGAACTTGGACTGGAGAGGATAGTACATTGATTGGAAAAGATTGTCTTCAAAGGAAAACTAAAAAGGAAAAAGAATAAAAAGATACAAAAATGTAATCAGCAATCTTAAATCCTTGGTTCATGATTGATACTGATATGTTTCATCCCCCTCTCCTACTTGGCACCAATACAAACCCCTATTTGTTACATTTCCTCATCCTCGTCTTTAGTAATCTCTTACATTACTTTAATCCTCTCTACTGGATATCATTATCATCCAACTCTTTGTCCTTCTTTGCCATTACATATTTAAGCATTAGTTCAGAAAAGTACCATCTTCAAATTTTTTGACTTGACTATTGGGATAAACTGAATTAGTACTCTTGATTCTGAATCTGGCTCAAGAAGTTGTGTTTTATATGGCTTGCATTGTACTGCAGCAAGAACATTCCCAAAATCTCTAAGGACAAATATGGTATGGATGGAGTCCTATAATACAGGGGTCCCCAATCCCCGGTCCGTGGACCGGTACCGGGCCGCAGCATGCCAGCAACTGGTCCGCACAAACAAGCAAAACCCCATCCATGGAATGCAGGCAGCATACAAAACCATGCACTCTCCGGTCTGCGGAAAAACCTTTCTCCACCAAACTGGTTCCTGGTGCCCAAAAGCTTGGGGAACTTCTGCTATAATAGGAGCAGGAGAACATAATTTAAGTATAAAATTCACTGGAAAGTCTGAGTAAGTTGGGATCTCTTAGCCTACTCTAACTTCAGGGATTCTTGTAACAATAAAACCCACTACTAAAGCTTTGTATTGCAGCCTTACTTTATGCAAGAACTTGCTTTTTGGCAAAACATCACTTACATCACGTATCACTTCATAGAGTGCTTTGAAAGTAGGCTGTTTATCATCATGATAGACACCTCGATTCCCATGCAGAATTGAAATGCCTTCTTCTTCTGCTCCTTTGCAGTTACTGCCATACATGCAGTGATCTGGTCGATAATTCCACTGACAGGGAAAGAGGTATAGACATTCTAAAAGGAAGGAAAATAAAAACACATAAAATAGAGAAAAAATATTAGCCAAGAATAGAATAACTCTCTTTTTTATGACCCTATAACCTCCTTAATTTGGGATAGAGGAGGGGTGACTGAATGGAGCTGAGCGTTTACTGGCTGGATGCCCTTCCTGATGCCACACAGAGTTCACAGCAAATATTTTTCATCATGCCCTAGGAGAGACACATCTGCTGCTACCTAGGATTGAACTCTCAGCCTTCCGAGCCGAATGTCTTCACCACTAGGCACCACACTACACTATTATCCAAGAACAGAATGATGTCTAGGAATCAGCTTTAAATACAAGACTTTAAATACAGAAAAACAACCCCTAAATTTTATAATAACATCATATATATATGATGAATAAACATTTGTATATATAATTCTGATTTTTTTCCCCTGGTTGCTCCAATCATGGTTTTTGAGAAAAGAAAATTGGTAGAATTTGCAGAAGGTGGAGACTTCCAATGATTGGAAGATGTAGAAATATATTAGGGCATAATGGAACAATAACGCAGCCTTCATACTTGGAGATTCTCAATTTTTAAAATTATTATATATTCAAAGTTAAAATAGGGCTATCATTATATTGCATATATACTTATAAAGTGTGTACCTGGATTGAAATAAAAAATAATATTTAGCAAGTCCTGGTCTCCCCATGTAATGTAATTTTTATACTTTTGGTATAAAGGGTACAACATCTCTTCCCATTTCAAGCCTGTTGGTATCAAGTTGTTCTGAAATAGAGAAATAAATGATTTGATAAAGCAATCATAAACACAAACTTACAATCATAGCAGGAGGAAGCTATAGCCACGGTGCACTTTCTAGCTGGGTTCAGTGACCAAACAGTAGGAAAAGAGTTGCTTTCAACAAGATGGGAATGAGAAGTCATTTCTCCTAACATAGGTTAAATATGCCACAAAAAAAAAGAAAGACTGATCTGTGCTGTTTCTTCTTGCAATATAAATATTTTCTTCACAATGATTTCATGGTGGTGATTGCATGACAAATGCTCGGCAGTACGGTTTATTCAGTAGTATCCATTTTTTAAATAACTGTGAGATGCCCTCTGAGTTTGGTTGTTGTCTTGCAGACATTTCATTATTTAACTTGGTCACATCATCAATGCAAGAAGAAAGATTTGCTCTGTCAGTGTTGGTGGGAGAGTTCTTGGTGGTTCCTTGATTAGGCTGTTGTTTACTGTTGGATTGTTTGTCTGAGTTGGTAGTTCGTCAATTGATAAAAAGGTAAAGGTTTTCCCTATCCAGTCCTATCTGACTCTAGTGGGCAGGGCTCATCTCCATTTCTTATCTGAGGGAGCCAGCATTGTCTGAAGATGTTTCAGTGGTCATGTGGCCAGCATAACTATACTCTGAGACACACACGGAACACTGTTATCGTCCCACCGAAGGGGTACCTATTTATCTATTTGCATTTGCATGCCTTCGAATTGCTAGTTGATCAGGAGCTTGGGCAAGTAACAGGAGAGTATTCTTTATTGCTTAATTATTGGTTTAGTATTATTCTTGGTGTTAATCTCCGATTGTCTGGGTGTTGACTGCTGGGAAGGAGGTGCTATGGTCTTTTAGCTTTTCGATTTATACATTTTATAATAAAAAAGAAATTATTATTTTGAACCTAAAATTTAGTTTCAACCGAAAATTTTAGACTTCAAATCCAGTAGTTAACACAACCCTTTCCCGTTTCCCCTCTGCTTCTGACAGTATTTCAGGACACAAGAGGCTGAATGGTAACTGTATGGTAATAAAAAGGAGGGTTAGGCTATTTCCTATTCACTGCAAAATAATTTCCATTGGTGCTTTGCTATATTGAAAAAGTTTCACAGGAAAAAATGTTGGCCTTAAAATACAGTTTGCATGCAGAAGGAGCAAGTTCAACGCAGGCACATGAAGTCACCTATGTGTGACCTATGTGTGAATTGGATGGAACTATAAATATATTTAATAAATAAATAAGGGAACCAGATTTCAAGGGGTAGGAAAAGCTGCTGTTTCTAATGCTCTAGCACAGTGGTGGCGAACCTATGGCACGGGTGCCAGAGGCGGCACTCAGAGTCCTCTCTGTGGGCACGCACACTGTCGCCCCAGTCCTAGGCCTTCAGCTGGGTTTTATAAAACCTTTTTGCTATAGGCCTCCGCCACTGTGTGCAAAAAAAAAAAAAAAGGTTCAATCAGTCAATTTCAACTTCTCACGGGAAAAAAAAGATCTTGCAAAGTTGGAATTGATTGAACTTTTTAGTCCCACCCAGTCTGCCGTTACCACTGCAGCCACACCCACCCAATGGGCCACGCCCACCCAATGGGCCACACCCACCCGGCACTCGACGATGCATAAGTGGGTTTTGGGTTGCAGTTTGGGCACTCAGTCTCTAAAAGGTTCGCCATCACTGCTCTAGCAAGTAGCTACCAATCTGAACAGATCACAATTAGTTAAATAGGATTTAAACCTGGGTCATAGTAGTTCATATTACACAGAGACGATGTACATCTTGGTACTCGGTACTGGTATTTTGGAATATTTTGGCATGTATGTTGTCTGAAATTTTCATGAACTGAGATAAGCAGAATATGTCAGCTTTAGTTTTCTGCTCGGCAAACAATCATTCTTCCTCATTGGATGTGATGGCTTAGGATAATGGGAGCTGAAGTCTAACATATCCAACGGGTAGGTACCAGAAAGACCGACTGCACTGATAATACTGTGGCAATCCTTTCTGTAGAAGAATTTGAAGACCTGCAGTTCAAGCACTGCCCAAGTTAACTATTCTTTCACTGTCTTTGAACCAATTTGAGTACTTATTGATCTATGTGGTGCACATTTCTCAAAAAACATAGACCCTGTTATGTTTTCATCATGTCAATGCCATCTGCACAGAAAAAGGCTGAACTCCATAACCTGTCAAAATTATGGAGCAAAAACCAACTCTACCCCAAGGAAGATTTCCCCCCCCCCAAAAAAATAAAAAAATAAACGGTCTCCTTACCTTGAATTGCGTATTTCTTATTCGGGTTAAATTCATTAGCATGACACCAGAATTCACCCCAGTGGTTCCATAATATGGGTGGCGAGCAAACCGACTATACCAGCCAATCTTTGGTATTTCGTGTTCCGGTGCCATTGCAGCCAGCTGGGTGGCATTGAAAGTTCTCAGAAAGCCCCAAATGTCATCAATGGGTCGCAGGAATAGGACATCTGTGTCCACATACAGAAGGGAATCCACATCCTTCAAAATCAGCTTTGGAAAAAAGCCAGACGGTTGAGAAAGCCATATACACAGGAAAACAAAAGTAAATGTATTAAAGACTCACAAATGGATATCTACTAATCACAAGGCAATACCTCTGACCTACCTTTCTGTTCAAATAAAGAGGTTCTGGCACAATACTTCAGGGTCAAGTAGACAGGAACAAAGGCAAGAGGAATGGGAGAGGGGAGGAGGAGAAAGGTCAGATGCTGCCCAGTAGTTTGCACTCCCCCCTCCCAAAAAAAGCCAAACGCATCAGTTTTCTTTTCCTTTTAGTATTAAGGAGGTTACTTCCCAACACCAGAGTTACAAGGAAAATGGATTTAGAATTGATAGTTATTAACCTGTAAGATGAGTTCATTGCTTGCTTCAGAGAAAAATCCAATTTTCCTTTGAATGGCAAGCAATGTCTTCCTTTCTTAATTGCCAACTCTCCTATTTTTGTCTTGTTTAGAGGGCTCAAAGATGAACCAAGTTTTATCTGTTCAAGTTTTAAGCCATATCAGGCAATAGAGAGTTTATGAAGGCACACAGTCTATAACCTTTTCCTTACAAAGCATTCTACTCCAGTCAGTTATCTACGAGCCAATCATGGTAAATTCACCCAGGGTTAGTTTTATAAGGAACAACCTATGTTTCTTTTTCTTTTTTAATTTTTTTTATTATTTAAACCGACAAACAAAACAAAACAAAACAAAACATAATACACATATATACACAATATATATTTTAACATCAACTTCGTAACAGTAATGTTTCTATCCAGCACATATTGCTGGAAAAACTTCCAAAATCCTATTATACCCCTATTATATGCTCCGACAAAAACAATAATATCTGGAACCCCTCTCGATCTTTTTCAATTTGTTTCTTCCTTTCTCCTTCCATACAACTATCACATTCTACTTTTATACTCTTTGCATATGTTACTTCCCCAACGCAGTACTCTCCGGATTTGATGGACTACATCATCTGGAGATGGTGACAACTCAGCTTTGGCACAGCTGAAGGCACCAGGTCGGGGAAGATGGATTTTGCTGCAAATCCATTCCTGTAACAAATGAGAGATCGTGAACTGAGTTCCACACTTTCATGCATGCCAGGTTCTCTGTAATTGAACTGGGGCCCTTGGTCAGCTTGAACTGCTGGAAGGAATTGTCATGGAAGACACTTGTTCGTTAATTACATTGATAACAGCATATCAAATGGATGAATGATAATCAGGCTGTTAATTCTTGTTTGCCATATGCCCTCTTGTGGCCATCATGTTCATTATGAATCTATCTCTTTCAATAATTTTATACAACACAGCAGAACAGATTTGAGACTTTGCAGAGTGCCTCTTCCCTAGCTTACAGTATCTCCCCTCTAATTTTTCAGAAAACCCCCTTTGTCCCTATTCCCAAACAACTCTCTGATTAAATTTACGGGTAGTATACCATGAATAGGCCACTACAGTGAAATTCTACCTTTGAAACCCATATTTGGAAAAACCTATTCACTCCTAACTTGCAAACAGAAAGGTGGGGGTTAGAACCTCATCTGTGTCCCTTTTCTTTTTGCAGCATGAGTAAGCTAAAATATGATAAAACCAGGCATATCTTTAGGCCTGGCAATAACAATGGAATGAATTCAGATGTAAAACCTTAGCCGCCACGTTAAAAAAATACATTTTATTTTAGTTATCTAATTTAGAAACCGCCCATCTTCCTGACAGAGAGACATGAAATATAGGCAATAAAGAAAACCCTTAAAAGCTAAGTCTGTATCAACAGAACTGTAAGCCACTCAGAGTCATGGATGGAGATTGGGCAGCCATAGAAATTGAACAAACAAACAAACACCCTTTGCAACAACCTTGAAATCTCAAAATGTCATTTTTTAAATACATTCTTTTTTTGGGGTAGTTAGGTGACCATAATCCTATTTTCAAAAATAGCAAGTTAAATAATCAGAATAAATTGAATTATTGGAGTGTATGTTTCATTGGTTTGCATAAAGTGGTTAATTTACACAAGATGTTCACAGATCCCGGTATTCTACTAAGTAATCCTAGGACTTCTTCAGATTCCTCTCACTTAATCAAAAAGTTGCCCTTTTATGTCTTTAACATAAGTATTCACTAGGTTCCAGAAAGTATGTGAAGCCTCTATTGAGCTTAAGATTCCTATTTTGCCTTAAAAACCTAAGGCAAAATCCAAATCAAAAGCCCCCCTCTTTTCTCTGAAATTTAGCCATCAAAGCTTGCCTGCCCCAGTAACATGAAAAATACATTAATTTTGTTTCTCTCCCATTCCTCCTTTCCTTATTTCATATCGCAAAGAAGTTAAAAAGGGAGATGGGAATGAAACCAAGGCACAGACTGTCTTGTATTAGTGATTATACATTAGTCACTCTAGCAGCCTTTTTGGCTAAAGTACATTATAAAACTGCCACTAATAAATAAGCAGAAGTGCAGAAGAGTTCCAAAACAAAGAGCAGATTGTGTTACGAGTCAGCAAGAAACTAACATATTATCTGTGTCAGATATGAAGAGCACTTTATTAAAGTCTATACAGGGGTGACGGCATGAACTGTGAGTCTTATTAACTGAAAAGGAGCAGTACATTGAAATGAAATGTGGCAAGCCCCAAAATGGTATAATGACAAAAAACTGAAGCAGCAGCTGGATGATACAGTTCTTGGAGAAAATATCTCCTGCTGAGAATGACAGTTGTCACTTTCTAATCTTATTGTATAAACAGTTCTACTTACTCTCTCAAGATACTATCTAGGAAGAGCTAGTGGAGTTTCACCAAAGTATAATATTTGAAAAGTTAGGTATGATGAATAAACTTGTCACTGAGACAAGAAGACAGAATATCCACCAGTAAGGTTTCAGAATTCACAGGTCTATAAAAGTAGGTTTGGTCTCTGTTCTATTTTTTTTTAAGTGAAAATACTGAAAAATGTATCAGAGGGGCAAACTTGGACAGGACAGATCTCTTAGCTTTCTGGATGAAAAAGTGGAAAATACAGGTAGTCCTTGACTTATAACAATTCACTTAGTGACCGTTCAAAGTTACAATGGCACTGGAAAAAGACTTATGAGCCTTGCAGCACCCCCATGGTCACGTGATTTACATTCAGATGCCTGACAACTGACACACATTTATGACAGTTGCTGTGTCCTGGAGTCATGTGACCATCTTTTGCCACATTCTGACAAGCAAAGTCTATGGGGAAGCCAGATTCGCTTAATGACCGGGTTACTAATTTAACAACTGCAGTGATTCACTTAACAAATGTGGCAAGAAAAGTCGTAAAATGGGGCAAAACTCACTTAACAAATGTCTCACTTAGCAACATAAATTTTGGGCCCAATTGTAGTCGTAGGTTGAGGACTGTAGTTGCAATATGAAACTGACTGTTCCATTTTATTCAATCTTGTTTTGCCTTGAGGTAGGCATGTAAGCTAACAGACTGACTTAAATAAAGGAAGCAAACTCATTCTTAAAATGGACACTTCCATAGACAAATACATTCTACTGTACAGAACAGAAGAGAATATTTGGGCCATAAAACCCTAAGACCCACACCATTTTGAATGCAAGCGATGCTTTAGCTAACGGGAATAAACATTATTTAGGTAATACTTTTTTTGTTGTTCTGTTCAGCAATATCCAATTCTTGGAGACTGCCTGGACAAGTCCCTGCAGTTTTCAGGGCAACTTTTTTAAAGAAGTGGTTTGCCCTTACAAATCCTAAATCTGAGAGGAAGTGAATAGCCCAAGGTCCCCCAGCTGGCTTTGTGCCTAAGGTGTGACTAGAACTCATGATTTTCTAGTTTCTAGTCTGGTGCCTTAATCACCATGCCAAATTGACTCTCAATATTTCTTATACATTTGCTTAATTATAGTACAAATGATTTGGTAAAAAATATGTTTTGAAGTCAATTTTGGAGGGATTCTGAGGCCACATACACAGGCCTCGTGTATGTTGTGTGTGGAGGGGAATATAATTCATGCTTTGATCTGAAGTTGCTAACTGCTGCAATTATTTATTTACTAAATTTACTTTCAAAGAAATCCCTTCCCATAAGCCAATTTATGAACCACTTAAAAAAATGTAATATTTTCTTTCAAAGGTCTTGGAATTGAGAAGACAAAAATATCAATAATCATTTGTCACCATTTTCTGCTTCCATAATTGTTTTTCTGCCAATATCTTTGGCTATCGGGGACTTCTTCCTGGAGATTCTGGATACCGTATTAGCCGCCCTCCAACCACTCCCGTCCTGCTCTGTGCCTCATCATGGAGGGATGGGGGGAGTGGGTGTTACTGGTAGGGATGAGCAAAGAATATTAGGAACGTATGGAAAGAGTGTATACTGTATTCCCAGGGGAGTCACTCAACTGATAAAGTCATCCCAGGTGCCCACCTAAAGCAAGCAGGCACCTCTGTTGGAAAATTGGAGATGCTGGAGATAATGGCTGTGCCAAAGGCAGGAGTAAACCAGTAAACCAATCCTCTATTTTTATGAAGCAAACCACCTGGGTAGAAAATATAAAATGATTTATAGCAATAGCAATATCACTTAGACTTACATACCACTCCAGAGTGCTTTACAGCACTCTCTAAGTGGTTTACAGAGTCGGCATATTGCCCACAACAATCTAGTGTTCCTCGTTTTACTGAATGAGGGGCCACCCAGGTTAGATGGTTTTCAAGATGCTACTGAAAAAAAGCTGAGGATCTTTCAGAGTACTAATGGTACTTATGATGTGATTAGATGAAAACCTTTGGGATATCTACTTACTGGTGTTGTTATACAAAAAACGATCAGAAGCTGCAATGACAGAATTACAGTGAGATTATGGAACACAAGTAACACGAACATGGATAAACTCAACACAGTGAAAGATGAAATGGCTACAAGTTGACATCTTAGACATTAGCAAATTCAGATGAGATAGAATTGGACACAAGATCACATTGTTTATTACACAGAAATAAAGAGGAATATAGAAATACAATTGACTATATTATTGCTAAAACTTAAGAGGAGGAGCTCATTTAAAGCATCAAAGAATGGTCAAGTACTAACTGTGGAACAGATCACGAACAAGCTTCAAGTTAAAACTAAAGAAGAAGAAAGCTACTCAGCTTTCACGGTAGGATCACGACGAACCCACCATTTTCAAGGAGAATATCAGGAAATGTTTTGAAGCTCTAAACCTCATTGATAGAGAACCAAAGGAATTATGAAGTGAACTTAAAGAAGTTGTTAAAGATGAATATGAAAAAGGATTGCCAAAAATTGGGAAACATAGAGCAAACTGGATATCAAAACAAACCAATGGAAATTGCCAAGAAGGGAAGCCAAAGCCAAGAAAAACAAAAATCTCAGAAAGAATCTTAACAAAGAGTTTCAGAGAGCTGTTAGAAGAGACAAGAAGCAGTATTACAACAACATTAGTAAACACATTGAAGGTGGAAGCAGACATGGAAATACAAGGAAAATATTTTTTAAAAAATCTGTGAATCCAGAAGCAAGTTCTAGCCTTGGAAATGATACGCTAAAGGAGACCAATTGAGAGATAATGATTGATTCAAAGGAGAACAAACAAAATGGAAGGAATATACTGAAATACTGTACAACAGTAACTTAGATGGTATTTCCTACTTATGAGAACCTCTGGTACAGAAGATGAAATTAGATCTGCACTCCACTGATTACCAAGGCTACAGGAATTGATGGGAATACCCACTGAACTATGACAAGCAGCAGCAGAAGAATCAGTTAAAATTCTAAGCAAGCTATGCCAGCAAATTTGGAGAACAACACAATGGCTGAGAGACTGAAAGAGGTCAATCTACATTCCAAGATGAGAGGGAGAGGGAGACAGAGACAGACTTAATAGTGTGCAACTAAACTATCATGCAATATGCTTAATCTCACATGCTAGCAAAATAGGATCATCCAATGCAAATTAGAGCTCTGCATGGAAAAAGAGACACCAGATGTTCAAGCTGTGTTTAGAAAAGGCCAAGAAATATAAGACATTATTGCTGATGCACGCTGGATAATTGAACAAGCCAAAGAACACCCCAAAGAAGTCACTATGTGCTTCATTGATTATAAATACTCATAGCTTCAATAGACAGAGTGGGTAATTGCCACAATAGCAGAAAGCACAGAGGTGAATTAATTTCCTCCTGCTGAGACTTGATGGGAAAATCCTTCTTGCAGCTTTTATATATGCATGGAGGAAATCCCCCACTAGGATCTCTGGAGAATTTTCCCAAGAAGCAACAGCATCTGCAGAGAATTCTTCAGACATGAAGCTATGGAGGAGTAAGTTAAATTTCGCCTTCCCACAACCCCAAATATTACCAAGGCCCTTTCCTAATTGGGTACTACCTACAGATCTTCAAGCCATAATTAATCATAGGTAATTTTAACCAGAATCAGAACCGGTTGAATAAACATGTACTATCCACACTGCATCAATTTCTTTTCCAATGCATATATTGATGTCCCTGGTTCTACATTAGTCCCATGTCTTGGTGACCAGGTTTCTTGACTACACTGTGGGAGTGGGATAGGTACAATGAATATTCCAAATAATCCTAATATGTATTAGTTCACAAGTTCCATCTTTCCCAGCAGGCATGAGAATGATGGATATTGTGGAATCATGTCCAGGAAACATTGGATCAGAATGGTTGCCTAAAGAAAACCAGGCAGTTCAGTCTAGTTTGCAAGCAGCCACAAAGTTAGTAAATGATACTTTCATCTACTCGATACCCTTCTGACCTATCCTCATAATAAAAATCTTGAAAAACAATGAAGCATGAAAATGTCACCAATCAAGATCCCTGTCTTTTTCTTTTTGGCTGAGACAAATTAGATGTTATCTACTACACCAGGGGTCCCCAACCCCTGGGCTATGGTCCTCTTCCGGGCTGTGGCCTATTTGGAATCGGGCCATGTGAGCAGCAAGCCGGCATGCACAAGCATGCAGCTTAACTCGCATGAGTGGCAGGCTGGCGTGCATGTGTTTGTGCAGCTCAATTTGCATAAATCAAGCTGTGCTCATGCAGTCCAATTCCCCTTCCCCCCCCCAGCCGGGCTGCCAAGCCACAAAGATTGGGGACCACTGTGCTACACCTCTTTAGTTTGCTACTATACTGTTTTCAGTTGTGCAAACATATGGAACTATGATCTTGATTTTCTTGTTCTGAAAAGATAGAACAGGACAATAAAGTAACTGCGGGTAAAAGGACCATAATACCACTTTACATTCAAGTTTCTAATTTTAAGAACAACAAAGCCTCTTGTCTTTGAGCTTCATATATGACATTTTGAGTACCTTACCGGAAGAAAGAGGCGTTGGGCAGCACACGGCTTGAATAATTTTCTCCACTCTTCAGCGTTTCCAACTGAGAAGGAGATTGGGTAGACATTGTATTCAAACTTCTTTGAGAAAGAGTTAGGCCATTCCTCTAACTGCAAAGCACAAGAAGGAAGAATTAGCATTCCTAATAGGGTGTCTTTATGGGAGTAGAAATGCTATTCAAATATCTTCAAGCCATGTACTAATTAAGGCTGAGCTTAGGAGCAGAAGTACAGCCACCATTAACTTACGGCTGACAAGCTTTCTAAGTGAATTGTAGTCTTTTAAACAAATCTGAGGCTTAGCAGTTGTTTTTAAACAAAGAAATCACTGAAAGAGACTCACTTTCTTCTCAAATTCTGGCTTCAGGGAATCCTCAGCAAAAATATGAAATTTGAGCTTCTTGTTGCTAAAGAGAACTGCTGATTTCAGCATGTTGAGAGTTTCCAGCAGCCGGTCGCCACATGCTACAACCGCAAGATGCATCCATTGCACCGAAGAAAACTGGGCTGCAGAATGCTTTTGGTCCTTTGGTCTCCTAAAAAGTAATTGTTTAAAAATGTACATGGATCATAATCAACATTTTAGAGGTATCAAGATTAAAGAAGTATATATTAGAAGAGGTTGTCACAGCTTATTTTCATTCATGTGGTTAAGATAACATCTTCCTCAATTGATTTCTATCAAAATTACTTTGGGTTCTTTTATATGAAGGGAATTCCACATAGCAGAGGCAACAAAAATATATTTACTGTTATCAAGAAAAATCAGCGTAATTTCAGCTGTTTCAGAAAACAATCACAAGTAAGACATGAAAATGGCTCTAACATCAAGTCAGCGGCCTCCCTGATTGTGGAGATATATTTGCAAATATGCCAAAGGTCTCACTGTTCAAGAGGCAGAGTTACTTAAATAGGGTTTTTTTTTCTTTTCACAGCCTTCACTCATTCTACCCTTTCTTACAAACCTAAATTACTGATATTACCACTTAGCAATAAATGCAGCTCCCTGTTTAACACCATGTTGACCACAAATTCAAAGAACTTCTGAAATGCCCAGAATTGACATGCAGATAGAAATAGTTTATTTAGAATAATGTTATTAATCTGAAAATATGTTACTCAGCAGAGAATCCTGGCTCCTGTAGTGCAAAATACCAATGGTCTTGAGATTATTTCATTCATTAAAAAGTGCTCATATTTTTTCACCAAGAAACTAAAATGTCTAGTAATAACTGCTGCTCCATATTGCAACATAAATCTACTTGCGCCTTAAGGGACATTAGATTTCAGCACCTCGCTAGCTCAGCAATGCAATATATTTAATTAATTGCTTAAAAGTCCATAGGCTTTTGTCTTAATTAAACCTCTACTTTTGCAATGGATAAATAATGGCACAAGGCATTTATGCAAATAGTATTTACTTTCCAGCCAATTAGTGAAAAACCTACTGAATTATTAAAGTGTATAATTCGTTGCTTCTGGGTTGTGTGCTCTTTCCCCCTTCTGTTATGCCTTTTGCCCACTTCTTTTAGGCTTTTCTTAATTGTGTCAGTAAATCAAGTTCTATACCAAAAATGCAACACTGACTTGGCTCCCTATGAAAAACCCTAACAGTCTGGTGCGCCAATAACCCTTTAATCAGGAACACGAATTTTATGCAGAAGATGTTGCCTAGCCTTGGATTTCTTGGAAACCTCAGGGTGTCTTGGATGCCACACTTGGAGGGCCTAAGATCTGTTGCATTTTTAGATTTTTAAACTCAACTTCAAAATTGAATTATTGAAGTATTTCAAATGTACTTTTTACTGTTTTTGTTATCTAGCTCAGTCTTTGAAGACAGTAGAGGGAATACATCCAGATAAGCAGATAAATAGATACTCCAGTTACTTGGAGTTTCCAGATTAGTAATTTCAAGGCCATAATCTGGAAATTGCTCCACAACATTAAGTGTGGAAAGCTTTATATTCCTCAAAGATGTGAATTTGGATCTAAAGCAGAGATTCACAAACATTCTTGGTTCACTATATCCTTATTGTCTCAGTAAATCTTTCATGGTGCCCTTAGCCAAAGAAATACCTAACATTTACATTTATTAAGTTTTAGATCTAGCTATTTTTTAAAAGACAAAACATAACAAAAGTAAATTATTTTTATTTAAAAAGTCATAAAAAGAAACAGAGGTAATGCAAACCACAACAATTATCCCTGTGCTGTGAATAGATACACGTACACATAAGTTGCTATTAGCTTCCCATCACAGTAATGGTGGCAACTTTCAGCAAAAGCATAGGTGGCGTAGACCTTGGTGAGAATTCTGAATCAACAAGACTAGGGACCAGATTGCTAGTTTATTTCCTTGCTTCTACTTGAGATAGCTAGATACTGTGCCTATACCCAGCAAAATTGCAAAAACAAACGTTTTAATGAAGCTTTAAGACTCACATCACTAATCTCACAAGCAGAATCTATGCAGGTTCTTTGAAGAGGACGGGGTGAAATGGACAGAGTCATGGGGTGGCGGAGACAATTCTCAATGGCTGTATGAAAATTAAAAATAAGGATTTGACAAGTGCCTCTATTACGTGACATCCCTTAAGAAGGACTGCAAGCCTATGCAAGAGCATTAAGCACTTCAAACAATGATATGTGAAGCCCTGGAAGAAAAATTGCAGCGAACAGTCTTCCCCATGTCAAAAAATATGCTCTGGGAAAGGCTATACCAACTATTCAAGTCCCCAAGCAGATTCACTGTTGCCAGGATCTCCTATGGACTCTCTGGCAAAAGACCAATTTTAATAGAATAGTTTTCCCTTTCCTGGAAGCTTAGATGAATTTCAGTCATCCTCAGCTTGATTCCTATCAGGTTCCAATCACTTCAAAACAGCACTTTATCTGCTAAAAACAGCCCCAGATATCTTCTAGTCTATGTTAATCGTGCTTATTTTGAAACCAATGCCAATCGCGACATGAAAATATATTTGCACTTTGCAATGTTTTTGTTACACGTAATTGAAACTACAATTCTAAGCATAGGCATAGCAAAATTCAGTTTATGTTCACTCAAAAGAAACCACTCTCCTGGGATGGGAAGGGGAGGAGGCGGGGAGAGAAAGAGGCTGAAAAAAAATCAAGAGAAAACCTTTGTTTTATTCCCCAAGGGTCTCCATTTTTTATCTTTGAAATACAGGAAAATTGAACTGTGGAATATTCCTATACATCTTATTTAAATGCATTTGTTTTATTCCTTTCGTTACTGACACTAATATGTAACTCCAACAGGCTTATATGCCCATCAGCAGTCAAATAGCTCCATCCTTCCTATAGAGATCCGTAACCCTATTCATCCCAACAGCAGTCAAAGAACATCTGCCCATGAAAAAGGCAGGTGTTAATTTCCACCATATTCCAATCAGGTGCCATCTGTTCTGAAACAAAAACAAGGCCATATGAGTTGTGGCCATGATGGCATGGGACAAACCCATGGTTGTCATGATGGGGATGAATTCCCAAGTTGTCTCATAGCTCAACCCTCAACCCACACCCAGATATCTTCTAGCTTCTAAAGGGCATCTCACCTGCACTGGTTAAGCTTGTGGCCACTGTCACACCAAGCCCCAGGAGGATATTTATGAGACAGGAACACCCCATCTTAATTCAACTAGGACAGTCACACAAAGCAGGTCTACTTCCTCAATCACAGATTGTAGAAAATCTGAGATGTATTGCAGGCAGACCTAACATTAAGCAGCAGCTTAATAGCCAAACAATTATTTGTATATTGTTCTCAAACCTTCTATTTCCTCAAATGACTTCTTTAAACCTTAAGCTTTTAGACTTTTAAGTAAAGCATCACGTCATTACAAAGCCTAGGTACAAGATGTATACAATACAACTATCAAATGCAAGCATTTCTTCTTCAGGAGCACTAACTACTAATTTGCTGAAATAATTTGCACAGTAGGCTTTCTGGCAAGTAAGTAGAAGGACACTGCAAGCAACAGAAGTTGAACTTCATCTGATAATTTTTTGGGGGGGGTGTGTTTCCCATTAGTGTCTATATAAGAGAGTGTTTGAAGGGAGGAACTGTCTTAAGCTGCACAATCTTTGGGGGATTCCTGGATGTGGATAGGTCTTGCCTCTGGTGATATGCAGAGGAGGCACTATGTTTGGGTTCCTGACTCAGTGGATCCCTTGTTCACCTGCACCAAGTGCAAACTCATTGTGCTGCTGGAAAAGAAAGTAGAAACATGCCTGTCCATGCTGAGGCTCATTAGAGAAGATGAGGAGTTTCTGGATAAAGCAGAAGGATGTTCTTCTGTTTCTAGCCTTCTGTCCTCCTGCCTTGCTAACTTGGATCTGACACTAAGAGAAAATGACAGTTTAGGGCAGGGGTGGGGTGTCAAACTCGCAACTCGTATCACCGAGACCTGGTTGGGCATAGAGGGGGGAGTTCCCCTTGTTGATCTGTGCCCACCAGGTTTCCAGGCATTCCATCAGCCAAGGGCCCGGGGTAGGGGCGGGGGGGTAGCGGTCATTATAAGGGAGAACCTGTGTCCAAGGGAGGCCACTGTGCCTCAGATAGACGGTGCAGAGTCCCTCCTTGTGAAGTGGGGGCAAGGGGTGCAAGTGGGCCTGTTGATAATATACCTGGCCCCCTGCTATGTGTCAAC